AGTGGGAATTGAACTTGTACTCAACCGCTTGGGGGTGCGACAACTTCACCACTTCACTAAGTCGCCACACCCTATTAATTGGAGAATTGTAATTATTTTAAAAAGCAATAAATATTATAAATACTTAGAAAAACTGTAAAAATAATACATTTTGACTATAATAAATATTAGATTTATTGAGTTTGGTTAACAGAAATAAAGGCTTTTATATTTAGATAGATAATTTTAGAGGAATCATCATCTTTTAATTTTACAATGCTAGTGCAAAATCTGTTTATCGTAAATATAGTCAACATACACACGTTAATTTTTCATGATATTATTAACTAAACATGTAATATCACTCTTTGCTAGTAGATTCTTGAAACAAAGAAAATGAGTCTTTAACATTATATACAATCAGAATACTCGATGTTTTTTAGTGATTATCTGAATGATTAATCATAAAAATCTGCCAGAATCAAGAAAAATTTTTATCATATAGTATCATGTGGTATCATGTAGATGTTTTATACGCTTTTTATCGTTATATTTCGCAATTCGGCTGATTTGAGGAATTTGACTTTTATATAAATCTCTCATCTATATCTGCTCTTTTAATATATTTGGGGTTAAATACAAGTTTCGATTATTACATACCGGAATTTATATATCTATTAACCGGAATTTGCAAAAATAAGATACAATTTTTAAAAGAATTGTAGTTTTGATAAAAGTCCAATTCTAGAAATTTGCTAAAGTAGTACAAATTAATGTGTATTCATATGTATATTATTATAAAATGCGTATTTTTTCTATCTTTAATTATGTACTGTTGGAATTCTGTTTATCATTATTAGAATTTTGATTGGCAACTATTCAAAAAAGTACGGTAATCATATATTCATATACGAATAAATTATATATTAAATATTAAGACTATTTGTATCTTCATATGTTTAATGTATAACTGCAATAAACTTATATTCTATTTAAGCATATAAATATAGTATATCAGTTGTTACAATATCTGTCGCTAAAGTAAATTAACTACACCAAGCACATAAGATATAGTTCGTGTTTAGCACTATGTACTGTTGCGCAGCTAACTTATTGGTCAATTATATTTGAAAACTATAACAATATAATTTGTATAACATATCTTTTTAATTGAGCGATAAATTCAAAGCTAAAGTAAAATATATGATTTGCTTAAGATAATTAACCTGTTTTTCTATATTTAATTATCTTTTATTAGACCGAATCAGAGAACTGTCAGGATCACTATCTTCGTTTGTATTTTTAATACCGAGTTTGTATTTTTCTTTATTTGGAGTGACCGAGAATTCTGAAAGACTACTGAAAAGTTTGGATAATTCAAACAAATTGTTATTATCCTCATCTTGAAGTTGGCATACTATTTTAGAAGTTTCTATCAATCCATACTATGTACCAAAAAAAGTAGATAAGTAATAGAAATATGTTGTATAATAAATTACTAATAATATACCTTGAAATCCCAAAAAAGAACAGTGAAATCAAAAATATGTTTACAATGTTCTTCATAGCAAATTGGCACAATTGACTTATGTGATCGTTCATACTGCAGAATGCCACAGGCTGGGTTATGTATTTGCCACAACTCAATTCGGTCTTCTATAAATATAAAATTAAAAAAAAAATTTAAGAAAAAAAATTAAGAAAAAAATTTTTTTAAAAAAAAAATTAAGAAAAAAATTTTTTTAAAAAAAAAATTAAGAAAAAGAAGCACTTATCATATACATGTAATGAAAAAAACTTTTAGCTTCAAAAAAGTTTTAGATAAACCACCTCGAAAATGCTCCCTAATTTCTTCTATCATATAAGAATTCCCAATTTATAATTTGCAAGCATTCTATGTAGATCAAGAAACATCTATGTGGCCATATTTGCTACTTATTTCTAAATAGCCCACTTCAATCAATTTCTTCTTCAACTTTACAAAAAATGTTCCATCAGATTTCTGCTTATAAAAATTATTATATTTTTGTTGTTTTCTGCAAAACTTGACAGAGGATAAAATTTCATTACCCCTTATATAAAAATATATTAATACATAACATTTACAAAATATCAAATAGACATGATTAATAACTATTTACACTACTTACATATGATAGTATAAACCAGATTCTTCTAACCTCCAAAGCATTGTTTTTAAACAAGAGTATGTTAAGTAGCCTCCATAATTTGCTTCTGATATATTCTGCTATTGCATAATAGAATTTTTCTTAAAAACATATTTATAACTACCAATAAAAGTTTTAAAATGAGTAGACCAGCATTGATATTTTCAAAAAACAAATAGATAATACTTACAATAAGGATAAAATTTTTATAAAAAAAAAGTGAATAGATCTTCAAGATTTGAAATTAGACATAGTTTCTTAACATTCTCTAAATAATCTAAGAATTGTTTATTTTCTGTCAAGTCATTAACTTCTCTAAGATGATGAATATTTTTATTGAATTTAAAGTTGTTTATTTCAATTCTCAAAGATTTTAAAGATTTCTGTTATAAACGATATATAATTTATATTATCTAAAAAGCAAATTAAATAAATCAACAATAACTAGATATAAAAGTAATATATATATACTATTTTAGAAGTTGAATAATATTTTTAGAGGGAATTATAAGACTCAGACATCTTGTAGAGCTTTGTATTTCAGTATAGTCTTCATTATTACATCACTTAGATTTTGTGATCTTGAATCTACAACGAATGATTCCTCAAACCTCTAGCCTAAATTAAAAAACAATTAACATGCAAATATGTGCAAATAAAAAAAATTA